CACAAATCCAGGTTATTGGGCTTCATATCGTGCTCGGAACTTCAGATCATTTTTCTCAGGCATTTGCTGAAGTGGTGACCACAAGAATATGATAGTTCGACAGTTTCCTACACCTAAGAGAATATTCATTTATTTTACTAGTAGTTTTTTTGGCAATAAATCATGAGTGGACACACAGCCACGCGAGGTCGTTATCAAGACCGACCGTTTCCGCACGATTCGTGCAGCTCTAATACATCGAGCCTGTATAATAAATTTCATCCACCGTATATAATTAGTACAATTCTTGTATTACTTCTGACCTTGCCAGGAGATGGTCCAGAAGGCAAACTCGCGCATTGAAGGCGTGCATTGATTAACATGTCAGTCCAAATGGCCAGCTGCACCATAATAACTACAATGATCCATGCTACTACTTCATTAGAAGATGGCCGCGGAGCATGTGGTTTGAATCGTTAACTACATTGAAAGAATGCACCCTGTCCATAATCACACTAGCTCTCTCCGTCCAGCATTTTTCAATTTTGAAAATGAGGTATTTTAGTTTCGTCACTTGTTTTGGATTGCTGATTTAAAACTCTTATATGCATCAATTTCTGACTGAAAATCACCTAACTCCATTCTTCATAGTTAACTTGAATCACAAAAAATAGAATCTGATTTTTAAATGCAACGTTGATACAAAATCAGAATGTCAATTAAAAGATCAGGCAAAATTTTACAAAAATGGTTAAAATACTTTTACATAACTTATAGGATATTTGAGACATCACCAATATGAGAGAACGATTTGTTCTTTGACGGCTTCGGTTTTGATTTAAGCTTCACAAGCATACATGTTAACCAAAAATTACGGTTCCCATTTTTGAACAAATTAGAGATATCAAAACCAACTCGACACATTTGTAATTGAACTTACAATATGAAAATATCTACGAGATGCATTTAATTACCTGAATATATGGGAGAAAGTTTGTCATGGTTGCAGCTAAATTCGTGTGCTTAGTTGATGTATTAGTAATATGTTAATCGGTAAATCAGGACTAACCATCATACAAGTGTGTTTAATCAGTGTGCCAGTTATTAGCCATGTAATATGTTGGGCTAATTAGCATATGAGTATTATCATACACTAAACCATCCAGTTTGCATGAAACAGATGCTATGAATAAAGCTTCTTGTACTAGCATTATTCCATTGATGCATCTGCCAATTGATGGGTGACACATTAATACATAGACTTGGCCACCTAATAACAATTGCCATAAGAAACGTCTGCAATGCAAGGGGACGAACAGGTTGAATATACGTTAGCACGTTTGTGCGTATACCCAAGTAAAACGCATGATCAAGTCCAGTGTCCATATGCTAACCTATGTATCTCTGTTTCTACCGAAGTCGTTTCCCAACATGCAAGGGACATCGCTACCAGACGAGCCAATATTCATACGAAAATTAAAGGAGACCCGGCCCACGTGTGCGAAGTAATGTTGCGTATTTACGCTAGCGTGCGAATTAGCCACCCCGTATTGCAAAATGGGCTATATTAAGTAGGAATCACGATGTGCATGTGGACGCGCGAGATTACGGCATCGCGTGCCACTATGTCCCAAAAATTCGCGCCCCTTTTTTTGGGAGGAATTTAGATAAACGCCAGTATGCCGACCCGGTTCATTCTTCAGACAGGGTTGCCAGGTCGACTCGGTTCATTGCAAGATCGACCACTGGCCAAGTCGATCACCAACCGAGTAACTGAGTGATGACGTGGACGATCAAATCGACGGTCGACGCGCATGCAAGCAGTGGATCGTGCGATCAACCGACCGAGTTTAATTCGCCATCTGCAAATTCGGCGCGCCACATTAGCCGGTCTCTCCTTGTCCCGCTTCACTGCGCCGGCCACCACCACCATTGGAGCATTCAACCACATCATCCATCGAGCCGTGCCGACCAATGCGGAGCGGAGGCCTATATAAGCCATGCGTCGCCTCTTCCATCCATCCATCCATCCATCGAGCTGCTACTTCACGTCGGCAGCTCAGTGCAGAGAGAGATTCAGGCATGGCAGCTCCAAGAGCTCTCGTCCTCGGCCTCCTGCTGGTGGTCACTGTCGCCAACGTCGGGGCCGCGTCCGTGGTGGTCGGCCTGGCCAAGTGCGCCGGCTGCACCAGGAAGGACATGAAGGCCGAGGAAACGTTCAAGCGTCTCCGGGTGGCGATCAAGTGCAGGAACGCCCACGGCGAGTACGAGAGCAAGGCGGTGGGCGGCCTGGACCGCACCGGCGCCTTCAGCGTGCCCCTGGCCGCCGACCTCCAAGGCGCCGACTGCGTCGCGCAGCTCCACAGCGCCGCCTCCAATGCGCCGTGCCCCGGCCAGGAGCCGTCCAAGATCGTGCCGCTGTCCGAGGGCGCCACCACCTTCGGCGTCGTCGCCGGCGCCAAGACCACCGCCACGCAGTCGGTGGCGTCCCCGGAGTGCGCGTCGGCCTTCTGCCCCTCGACCACGCAAAAGAAGCCCCGCGGCGGCGGCCACCACAAGAAGAAGCACAACCCGCACAAGCCTGAGACCAAGGCCCTGCCGTAAACAGACTATGCCACCACGCCCCTCCCACGCCCGCCTACGGAGGTGGGCACCCCTAGCCAGTGTCTCGACTCCGATCTACCACCCTCCCGCCCAGCATTGAAATCTCCATGATTTCGTGCTATCACTCTTGCTATTTATGATTTCAGTGTCTGCAGAACTCAGCAGAGTTCAGAATAACACGGTTATGAGAAGGACAGACGGATCTGTGTGTTTCACAGTGTATCCTTTTTACCAATGTTTGTAATATCAGTGTGATTTTTCTATGGGAAACAAGAAGTTATCGTAAATCAAGTAACACAGCCGGTTTTGATGGTTCAGGGTTGAAACTTAGCCGGTTTAGAGTTTAGGGTTGAATCTTATAGATAGTCCAAAGAGTTCAGAGCTGTAATATGGTACTACCTCTGTCTCGGTGATTAAGTCATTCACGTAGTTTTAGATCGACGATTTAACTATCTAAATATGTATTATATGTGACAAAAATATATATTTAGAAACTACATCCGTGTAGAAATCCAGTGATATACTTTTCATGACATATAACACATATTTAATTCCTCAAATCGATGACCTAGAACTACGCAAATGACTTATTCACCGAGACAGAGGTAATACGTACTTTACAGGGCTTCCAAACGCGGCCAGCGAGTCGTGAACATGACAAACAAGTGTTTAAGACTACAACGGGGGAACACAAAGCCATTACTACCAAGTTTCTACACCCTCAGCTGGCGCTGTGCTTCCGTCTAGGGATGCTCGATCAAGTCCATGGCTTGCCCTTGGATACCTCTAAATGTCTGGTCGGAACGTGGTTGCAATGGTACCCTGTCAGCTAAGACCACGGATAATTGCAGGAGTGGGTGATGAACATCAAAATTACACAAAAATGCATGCTATTCCTCCAGTCTTAATTCTTAACTGCAGACATAGCATTCTTAACTGCAGACATAGCACCTGAGTGCGTTATACTGTCTCTTCCTTTCAAAAAGGTAAAAAGGGAGGGATCGGGCTATGAGACTAATATGTTGGCAAGGTCGAAATGTAAATCCAATATTTAATGGGCTGCAAGCAACGCGGTGGCATATCGGCGTCTATCTAAATTACCCTCCAAAAAGGTACTTATTTGAACTAAAACCACGACGCTTATTCTGGAACGGAGCAAGTAAAACAAATAAACAAATGTATTCTCCAAGTCTAGGACAATGCTGTCCTCGTACCACGGTACCAGTGTGGTGGTAGTCTACATTTTCTGAAGTGATGTGCACAAGGAAAACTGGAACATGCATTGTGTACAGTTGCATATTCGACAGGCAATGTTCATTGTCTTCAGGGAGATAAAGCGTCATGGTATAAAGGCTGTTATCACTCCAGAAATTGAAGGAGCAGATTACCAGGGCTAGGAAAAATATTCTCAAGATTGAGTGAGTTATGTTGCCCTCTTCCCCTAAAAAATGGTAAAGACACAACCCATCAATGGAACATCATGCAGATCTCATTAAAGGAACTTACAATAACAGGTCTTCGCACCAGTTCAGCCACCAAGCACACTTAGCTATATAGAGAAGTCAATCCTTAGTATTATGTTTTAGTACCACAAAAAGGATAAATCATATCAAATACTCCCTCCGTTCCAAAATAAGTGTCAGAGCGATACTCCAAAAATCAAAATGCATAAAAACAGGGCATCTCGATGTTGAGAAAATTACAAAAGGCGACCACAATTGCAGTTAGCGAGTGATAATACCTTTGTTGCACAAATTACCACCGAGAATCCTAATAGTTTTTTAAATAGCACAAATCTACCACCTACCATTACCAGTAAGCACAATTTCTGTAGGAATTTCTAGGATGTCAATCATTCCTCTGGTTAGCCCTTTTTGTATTTTAAATATATAATACATAAATGGATAATAAGTTGCATACTAAAGATATCTGAATAAAATGAATGGGCCGGGAGAGTTGAAAATGCAGATAATTTCGAACATTGATAATGTGCTCTATCACATCTGGTTTAACAAGTGAGAACAACAATCAGTAAATGAGAGCACATAGGTTAACTGATGAGTAGATCTGTTCAAACAACTAGACACTAACTAGCTTACAAAATTTCCATGGCTAATCGACATTGTCCAATGTCATGAAGCAGCATGCACCTGAACACTAACAGATAAGCAAACTGACCTAGACAAAGAAGTTATCCAAGCCACTGCCTCAAAAGTGGACATGGTCCATATCCATGTAACACCTGATTTAGTGACCATCCGAGGACCATTTCACAAAACAGGGGATGTAAGACAGACATCCGAGAACATAACATTAGGTATTTTCCCGCAAAATAAAACATAATATTTGATATCTCCTGTTTATGACATGACATATGGAGTTTGGACCTACAAAGTGCATCGTTGTAGCTGCAGAGCATTTCTGCACGGTGTATCAAGGGAGCTTCGCGCTAGGTTTCTTTTTTCTTCTTTTGCAAATTGGCATTGAATAGCACAGTGCATCCTGGGATTATCTTGTCAGGCTACTTCTGAAGTCAAGGAGATGAAAAGTTAATCTTCGTTTTGAGTTCACCAGATTCAAGAAATAACAAACAATGAAACAAATGTGTTCGCAAAAAAAAACAATGAAACAAATCGAATTACCTGTCAGCTGATTTGACTGCTTTCAGTCAATATGGCCACAAAACAGATCACATGAGGAAACCTGCCCAGGGAAGGGCATAATATCAGTTTCCATACTTTAAAGGAATCATAAGGTCAGTTTTAGATACCTCACAAAAAAAGAACAATAGAACTTGAGTATGTAAATTTCTGTACATAACATGATATATGGTAGAAGTGTACCTCAAAAGCAGTAGGTGATATCCGTTGTGCAGGTACAGGCGCGTGCTTAACAAGACACCAACTAATCATTCCACATTTTGGTAATTAATGCTGACATTTAAGTTGCTTGTTCTGAGCATTCTGCATCCGTCGTTCAGCTCCTCGCTGCAGAACATGATGTGCAAATTTTCCAGTGAAGGTGGGAGGCCCATTGCTGGCAGCCTTGAGATTCTTGGACATCTATAGACCTCCAGCCTCTCGAGGGAGGGGTGGCTGTGTAGCCCTGCAGGAAGGTATTTGAGATACTCGGAAGCTTCGAATTTGAGGGTCTGCAGGGACTCGAGGCGCAAAAGTTCTCTCTCTTGCTCATCCGTTAGTCTTGTCACCCCTACGTCCCTAGTTCTGAGTTTGAGGCTTTGGAGTGATGTCTGGTGTTTGAAGAATGATGTGGTCAGAATAGAAAAGTCATCGATATCAAGACTTTCGAGTCGAGGGAATGGTTGGTAACCCTGCCCTGGCAAACCCTCCAAACATGGATGCAAGCAAAGGCAGTCGTGTATTTTCAAATGCCTCAAGCTACCAAGGGATGAAAAGCCCTCCAATGTGGAGAGTGATGCACAGCTCAAAATATTCAACTCTTCCAGTGCCGTGCAGGAATGTAGCTGCAGAGATTCCAAACTTGAAATGTACTCTACTTCCAACTTTGTGAGGGACGGCAAGCCCTCAAGTTCGTCAAGCAATTCACAGTCTCTAACTGTCAACTTTTCCAGTGCCGTGCAGTGATGCAGCTTCAGATATTCCAAAGATGAGCTGCCCCATACATCTAACACTTTGAGACAGGTGGCATTCTCCACAAAGCTTGGCTCCAGCGTCTCTTCACTATTTTCGTTGACATCAAGTTCTACAAGTGATTTTGGAAGGAGCCATCTTCCATCCTCATGCACCAAAGATGATGGAAGCATGTCACATCCATAATTAATTGTTAGCATTTCAAGGGAGGTAAATTCAGCGAAGCCTTCATTGTTCCCGCAGAATGCGAGATCAGGGCATTCACAAATTGATATCTTCTTCAGAGAGGATACGAGATTTAACGGAATACACAAGAGCCTGTCTTGAGCTGAACTTGTCAGTGTTGACGCATTTGGGGCTGAGATAACATTTGATACATTGTTTTCTTCTGGTTCTATTGACAACCGTGTTATTTCAGGGCAGTCCTGTAAAATCAGTTCCTCTGGGACTAGAGCATGCTTCAGAATCAGAGATAGCCACTTCCCTGTTATTCCACATGACTTGATACTGAGGCATTGAAGAGATGGGAGGGCACCACAATTTGCAACTGTCACATCCTCATTGACATGCTCTCGCAGAATAGCTGGAGAGAAAAGTTTTCCACAGTTGCGTATTTTCAGCGTCTTCAAGGACACGAGTTTCCTTAATCCTTTGAATGAAACAGACAATAGATCTTGGCAACCTTCTATTTTCAAGCGAGTCAAGAACCGCAGATTATGCGGTGCCATAATGTTGCCATCTAACACCAATTGCTCACCACAGAACTCACTGAAATCCTCATCGGAAGAAGATTCCTCAAAATTCTTGTGTAAAATACAGATTGTTAATCTTTCGGAGGACCAACCTTGAATTCTTGCAAATTTTGAAACTTTCCTGTTGAAAATTCTAAAGGTACTTGAAGATGGTAAACAATGTGGTATCAGCAAATGAGGACAATCATGAACAATCAGCTCACGAAGACCAGGCAACCATGGCTCCTCAATTTTCAGTTCCTGCCCGTTCCCAAACAGATCAAACACCTCCAATATAGGGCACCACTTAATCTTCAGAACCCTTAAACTAGAGTTCAAGTCCCTCTTGGAAATGCAAAGGCACCTCTCCAACTTTGGCATTTTAATTAACACCAATTCTTCCAAGGAAGGAACAAATACTTCTACTACTTTCTGCATGCCGCACAATTTCAACTTTGTAAGAAACAGAAGACTTCCCAGAGATGGAAGTATCCGCCATTCTCCACAGTTCTCTAAATGAAGCGTCTGCAATGAGGTAACTGGGGTATTGCTGGCAAGCCAAAATGGAGAGAGAGCCCCATTATACCCAGATATCTGAAGATGCTTCAGGTTGCTGTTTGGCTCAAGACCCTCGAGCACGTCTATTTGCAAGCAATCCATCACTATGCTGCTAGAAGTTTGAAGACCCTCAGTCACCTGTTTTGGCAAGCATTCCTCCATCTCGACGCTGGTACAAGTTTCGGGACCCTCAAGAACCTCTACCAGCAAGGGCACCTCCATTTCAGAGCTCATGCCATGATCATATTCATCATGTGACGAGGTACCATTCCAAGACAAGTGCAGCTTTTCCAACTGGTGCTTGTCCCTCAGTCTAGCCTGGTATGCCTCTTCCCTAGTTTTAACATTTTGCAGTTGAGAAATCCCAAGTCGTACAAGTTCATTCATGGATTGAAGTTCTATAATATCGACGCCATTAGAATCTTGAACACTGAAATTGTGCAGCTCCTGAAGTGAGATCAATTCACCAATTCCAGCAATGGAAGAGTGCACTCCCTCTTTTGAAACAAGGTGCCGCAAGCTGGGAACATTACTCATGCCATAAATTACATTAGAATCAATGTTTGAGGCGACATCTAATACTTGAAGATGGCAAAACTTGCTCCAAACTTGAGGCAAACCCTCGTGCACCTCATCGACTTTGAGCTTTAGATAGCGAAGATGGGTAGGATTTACCAAACTGCACATGAGGGAATTATAATCAGCAGATGTTCCAGAAATCTGTAATAGACGAAGATTATGTGCCTCTCGGAGTATGTCTTGGAAGGATTGCAACATGGAAGAGTCGAACTGCCCAATCAATACCAATGTCCTCAATTTTCTCAATGATGTAACTTTATTTCGCAAATTTTCTTCAAAATTGTTACTGCAATGTTTGTTCCCAACCTGATTTTTGTTGTATGCGTAACCAGTCACTACTGACAGATGCCGTACAGTTGGCAAAATTTCATTGCATTGCAGATCATTTGTAATTGCACACTCGGTTCTCGAAACCATCCTCACAAAATCACGCATAAGACCACACATAGCATAGCAATTTTGACTGCCTTGAGAGGAGTTTTGTCTTCCAACTTGGTGAAAGTAGCCCAGGTTCAGCAAATCATCCAGATAGTCCATTCCCATCTTCTCCAATATTTTATTTGAATGCCTATGTTTCACAAAACCTTGTGAAATCCATATCTGGACCAACTCCTCACCAAGAAACTGATAATTGTCGGGGAAGATAGAACAATACGAGAAGCACTGATGTAAATGGTACGGCAGCTGATCATAGCTAAGCTTCAAAGCGGACATAATGCCTCCATTGAGCCCTAGCAATTTCCAGTCTTCATTCCTTAGAATGTTACCCCAATGATCAATGGTAAGCTTTTCTCTTAACAGTGCCCCAGCGGTTACTGCCGCTAATGGGTTGCCCTTTAGTTTATCTGCAATTTGCTTCCCAATGATGCTTAGACTTCTATGCCCTGCATAGTTCTCATCACCAAATGCACATGCTTTGAACAACAACCATATATCATCATTTCCCAAAGCATGTAATCTAATTGGTCCAGTTGTTCCTATTCTTTTTGCAACAGACATATTTCTAGTTGTCACAAGAATCATATTGCCCCTTGCATTATTGGACTTGAAAGGAGCCAATAGTTGGTTCCATCGGCAGTCACTCATGTCATCCCAGACATCATCTAAAACAAGCAGAACCCTCTTTAATCTGATGTGACTCTTCAAGACCTCCTGGAGTTTGGCGAAGCTGCATACTCCCTCATGTGGCTTTTCAGAGGGAGAGGCAAAATCTAACATATCTCTTGAGACTCTTATTTCATCGAAGTTGTTAGATACCCGAACCCAGATCCTGTGTTTAAATTGGCTTTGCACATCTGGATCATTGTATACAAGTTGAGCAAGAGTTGTCTTCCCGGCACCTGCAATGCCTACAATAGGTAGAACTGTTACACCTACACTGCCATATTCTTCGTCGGTCATCAAGTTTTTTATGTAGTTTTTCTCTTCAACTCTCCCATACACTCTGCCCTTCAAAAGACTTGATGTTCTTAGGCGTGGATCTGAGGCTGTACTTTGATAGTGACTTGGACCTGCACCAGATTCAGAGCCAAGTATGTTCAGAACCCTTGTCACATCCCCTCGGATATCTTGCAGCTGACGAGTTATATCCTGTATCCTACTGGAAAATTCTTCCTTGTTCCAAGCGTGAACATCAGGTGTGAAGGAGTCTCCTGGATCCTGATATGTTCTCATTCTTTTTCTGCTAGATGGTACACCAAGTGCAACAAGGGTAGCATTTGCAATGGCATCTCCTATGCTGCGGTAAGAAAAAAAAAGTGGATGGTGAGTACTGAATTGGCTATAAGAACCACAATGAGTTGTTATACACAGATGATGTCTAAGAATGAGAATGCATGTGCTTTGTTGTACTAGTAGAACCGATTGAAATTACTGCATCCATGGCTTAAGCTATGTCCTATGTAGAAATCTGAAACTGAGAGCTTGGCATGTTTGGATGAAGATAGGATGGTTTGTCAAAATTCAGATGCAGTGACACCATACAGTAAAACCATGTGCTTTGTTGTGGAACCCAATAAACATTCCTGCATCCATGGCTTAAACTATGTCCTAGAGAAATCTGAAATCGAGAGCTTGGTCTGTTTAGATGAAGACAGGGTGGGTTATCAAATTCAGATGCAGTGACAACATACAGTAAAACTACAAGAGGAGAGCTAGAATGAAATATTTCGCAAAAAATGGAAATCGTGATTCAGAAGAACATTTGCAATTGAAACCAACAAGTTTCAGGATCTATTTGAGCATATTCACCCTTAAAAAGAGAATAGTAAAATCAAGCGAGGGCACGAACGATGAACAGAAGAGAGCTGAACTGAAGATTCCAGCAGGGCCTGTGACAATGACGCGGATATGGGCTAGGATCATCGCGTCGCCAAATCTGCAACGATCCCCTGCCCTCGAAGACACGGCCTCCGACCGGAGCCTTGTCGGCTCTTTCTTCTCCAGCGAATCACGGCCCCACTCCCCCATGCCGCCGTCGCCGGATCGGACATCGTCGTCGCCAACAACGCCGCCTCCATACCTTCTCGACCCCCTCTCCTGTACAAGAGCGGCCTGCTCCCGTGAGATCCATCGCCGACGCTGCTGCTCGCGGCTCCCATGCTACTACAGGATGCCGGAGCCAGAGAAACCCGACGAGGGAGAGATAAAGATTTTTTTTTGAGAGAGAAAAGGAACGGGGGCTTCTGGGTAGAGCGGGTGAACTGGCATCGGAGCCCATTACGGCCTAGTTAAAATTAACGGACAGAACGAATGGTTTCAGGCCCAGTCGCTTCATCACATTCACTCACAGCGTGGTCCAAATACAATGCTTGTTCAGAGCTCCTAACCCATGCTTGACCAAAATCCTTAATTAAGGGATATCCTTTGCAAATGTCATCTTCACTTTTTTTAAATTCACTTTCACCTTCTATGGTGGTGACAAATAGTGCACTACACGCGCATCACTTGTTGCAACCCGGGAGTTTTTTTTCCTTTTTCATAGATTTGGTTTTTTAATGTTTTATCTCTTAAACCGTGGTTCCAATTCATGGATAGTTTTTATCGTTAAATTTCTCGGGTCGAGATTTTTCGATGATAAATCCCAAGTAAATAGGTTTCAATGAAGTTTTATCCACGAACAAACAAAAAAACAAGAATCAGGAAAAACCAAAAATTAAAAAAAGACAAAACCGAACAAAAAGACCAAAAACCAGAAGAAAACAACAAAAGCACAATTGTGATTTTTTTACTTTTTTGGGAAGCAGTGATTTTTTCATTTAGTACAGTTGTGCTTTACCCTTTTTCAAGGAAGCACATTTGTGTTTTTTTCCTCTTTGGAAGCATAGTTGTGCTTCTTGTGGAAGCATTGGGAAAGCACAACTGTGCTTCTCTCGCAGGAGCACATATCGTGCTTCTCGCGGAAAAGCATTGCTTTTCCTATAAAAATCTCCCCAGACCTAGGGAAACCAAGCAAAAGCTGAAAAGCCAAAAAAAACAAATAAAATCCAAAAGCGTGTGCAAAAAGAAAAAATTCCTGAGGGTGCGCCCAGCGCGCGACATGTGGTGGTGCATCAGTTGGCGCACTCCCAGGCACAATAAAGTGACCTCTGTAGGGGGGAAGTATCATGTACTCCCATCCTTGGGGTACTCCCGGCGCTCCAAGTTTAAAGAAACCACTCATAAATGTTTCAAAAAAAATCAAAAAAATGTGAATGTTCGCAAGGAATGTAACTACAAACGCTAGAAATTTCAGGTCCAAACTCGAAGTGCACATTAAGGAACAAAAATTAATGTGCACTTCGAGTTTGGACCTGAAATTTCTAGCGTTTGTAGTTACATTTCTTGCGAACATTCACATTTTTTTTCTGAAATTTTTGGAAACATTTAAGATATGTTTTTGAACTTGGAGCACCGGGAGTACCCGAGGATGGGAGTACCAGATATTTCCCCCCGAGCCCTCCAAGAGGCTGACCCCTTGATTAGTTGCCCCCGCGCTTGACGTGTCAGTTTCTAAAATAGCGCCCGTGTGCCCACTTGCATGGGCCGGCCGAAAACATGCTTGCTGGTTGGGCGGTCAACCATTCATTCGTTGCACTGGATAGCTCCCTCCTTCGTCCTCTCGGTCCACGGTTGAGTGGTCGACTTTTGAAAAAAAAACACATCTGTCTAAAAAATGCATTTTAAAAGTTTCGTGAATTCTAAAAAGGGGATTTTAAAAAATCCAAGACTATTTTAAAAGTTTGTGGATTTAAAAAACATTTATGAACTAAAAAAATGTATTTTGAATAGTTCGTGGATTAAAAAAAAGCTCACAAAATTGGGAAAAGCCATGAAAGGGAAAACATGTTCGTGAATTTGATTTTTTTACAAACTTGATAAAATTTCATTGATTTAAAAACATGTTTGTTAATTCGAAAAAAGTTGAATGATTTAATTTTTTAAGAAAATGAAAAAGATTTATTAATTTAAAAACATGCATGTTTTTTGAAAGTTCATGAATTTGATAAAAAGGTTTATCAAATTTTAAAGGAAAAGGAAAAATAAAAAAGGAAAACGAAATAAAAAAGAACAAAAACAGAAGCTTCTGAAAACCAAACAGAAAGATAAAAAAAGAGAAGCTATTCGCATTTTATCGGCTGTTGATTGCGGGGGTGTGCGTTGTGTGCGATTATTGAAGTAATCGGCACCATAAGCACGGAGTAGGGAATGCTATGCTTGTTACCTTTTCGATTCTAAAAAAAGACACTTGTTTGTTTTCTCTGACATATGGACCTACTCATTCTCTCTCTATTGTTTGCAAATGATTATGAATCTCGTCTAATGTGAAAGATCGTAAAACTAGGGGAAAATGAGTTACATATACTATTACGTTGAGAAAAACGACTTGAAAAGAACTGAAGTAGTTTCTCTTGGCAAATGTAAAATTAAGGCATTATTAATCGTGGTAGTACCTTGAAGGGTTTGGCAGCTGGTGGTGACTTGCATGTTCAGGCTGATCCATATGTGTTTCCTTCACCTCGCCTGTGATGAAATGATCCAAGTGTTTTGACACCTCAAACCGTCGACGCCTCTGCTTGCCACTGCTGCTGCTCGTCGTCGACATATCGACATCGCCGCCTGTTGACGCACCATCGGCTCCATGCATGAATCCGGCGATAGCATCACGTAAAGCAGCTGGATATGTGCCAAAAGATCAGAGATAGGAGGGAAAACATGGAAACAAGAGAGGAAAGAAGGTGGAGGGAGCATACATAAAGTTTGAACCAAGGACAAGCAGACGACAAAACCACCTTATGAACTGCCTCAGTAACAAAATGTAGGACGTTTTTTGTACCCAACTATATATACCAAAAAATGACTTATATTTTATTACAGAGGAGTATACTTTTTAAACATGAGAGATTAGCTTAGCCCGCTGATCTTGACCAGAAAATTTTGGCATAGATCTGGTATATGTATGCGCGTTGACTCAAGCATGGCGAATGGACCTCATGGTTTTTATGTGGTGGAAATTGCAAAAGTTTGAGTTGGAGTAGACTTGTAGTCTGTCGACGGATCGTACTCTAATGATCCGTTCATGTAGATCAATATTTTTTTTGAGTATACGTAGATCAAACCTTTTTTTGACGGAAATATGTAGATCAATCTTTTTTTTTGAGATGCAAATATGTAGATCAATCTTAACAGGTGCCAAAGGACCAGAAAAAGATGAGCACAACTGGATCTGCACACCGCACGACATACGTAAAGGCTCTACTATTTACCTCGTTGCATGACGCGTTGCTGCAGTCTGCAGTAGTCGAGGTCATCCACCACGTCGTCCGCGTCGTAGAGCGCCTCCCTGAGAGCCGCGAGGGACGGCTCGGACAGCGCCGCCGCCGGCGGCCTCCCTTCCCTCACAGACGACGCAGCCGAGACCGCCGTGCTGACCCTCTTGATCTCGGACCTGAGCCCCTCGGCGTCGCCGGCCAGCCCAGCCCGGCGGATCCACGCGTCCAGCTCGCCCCCCATCGTTAGGCTCTCCAGGATGCCTCGTATCAGCCACAGGATCGCCGGCACCAGGAACGCGTCCTCCGCCGCCTCCATCGGTCGGGTCTCGGGTGGATCCGGCAGGAGATGGGGAGAAGCAGAAGCAGAAGCTCTCGAGCGGAGGTCAACGGCGGGTGGGGTGGAGGGTGGAGAGTAGGAATGGAGCAAGAGGGTTTACTCTATAGATACACTACTGGGGTGGATGTGATGTCAGAATGATGGAACAAGTCTACCACCCGACCGCTGCTGCGAGCTAGTGGACCACTTCTTCTACACGGAGATCGACCGGATACTAATGCCTCGACGACTCGAGTGGACGTTAATCTACATCGTCGCCGGTGACGCCGGGAATGACCGTGGCGTGGCGCAGAATGCAGGTGTCCCTCCCATAGAGTGTGAGCCAGGAGCCATATTGACGTTCCTGGTCCGTGAGAATGTGAGCTCGTTGAGCTGCCATTGGTTTGGTTTGGTTTGGTTTCGTTCGTTCTTTCCCTTTTTATTTTTTTCCTTATTATATATTTTTGAAATATTTTAAATACATATATTTTTTAAAAATAATCTACTTGCTGTTTCAAAAATTGTCCATACCGTCTCAAAATGTTCATTCAGTGTAAATAAATCTTCATGCAACTTTTAATTTTTGTGATAGAGTTCAAAAATATATTCGTTACATTTAAACAATGTTAAAATAACATAAAAAATGTGTACCATTAAAAAATGAAATGTTCATGCAACTTTTGGTTTTTGTGATGCAGATCAAAAAGATGTTCGTGACATTTAAAAAAAATGTTAATACAATATAAAAAATTGTAAAATCCAAAAAAATGTTTGTGACATTCAAAAAATGTTTGGTCATTGTACAAATATGTTCATGAGATTTTATAAAAATATTTATACAATGTAAAACAATATTCACGTAATTTGAAAACTGTTTCTACCATTAAAAAACTGTTAAACATGTATTAGAGAAATGTTCATCGTATATCAACATATGTACAACATGTATGAGAAAAATTCAAAAACAGGGAAAAAATGAAAAAAAATGAAAAAGAAGAAGAAAAACAAAAAAAGAATAAAACCGACCCAAAAACACATGGAAACAAAGAAGATAAACCACATGGAAGTTCTAAAACTGATCCTAACCGTAGAACCTTTCAACATACTGCTCGCAAACAGCGATCTCCTCATGGGTCGGCCCATTAGCCATAGTGGGAGTGTACAAAGAAGCACGAGTTTATGCAGCTTCAGACCTTTTCGCCCGGTTTCTTGGAAGGTTCTGGAACTTTTGCCTGATTGTTTTCACTGTTTTTCGGTTTGGGTATCCTCCATACTTTCGTTCATACACCATACTCGACCCGTACTTGAGCATCTTGAACATAGCAACAAAAGTGAACGAATTCATTGTGTTGGGTTTTCCGATCGCTAACCTTGCATGTTCCTTGATCTATTTTATCTTAGTCGCCCAAGAACAACATTATCAAGTTCCTCGCCATTGAGGTCCAAATGTTTTAGCATCTCCTCAGTGCCCCCCCTCTAACCATTGGCAAATCGACAACTGCAGCTCCGACGTTAGTCCTTAGGGGCATATACATGAAGACTTTTCAGCTGTCATCGACAAAGTTAGGCCGTCTCCGGTATGGAGCAGCGACAATGGCACATCGGTGGCTCATTCTGGTGGCTTTAGTGGTCGTTCAGTGATTAAGGGCCCTCAATGTAATTTTTGTTATGTTTATAGTGGTTTGTAATTGTACTTCCGGTGAACCTTTATAACATATCTGGATACCTTTCTCCAATGAAAACCTATGTTTAGCTATTACATGAGCTACCTCATTATCTTCTCTAAAGCATTGTTCAAACTTTTCCCCTATAAATCCATGTACCTGACTTAGCAGGTTCTCTCCTGCCCAAGTTTTTTTAGAAATCTCGCCAAACTTTATTGATTCAGAGCAATATTGATAGGTACAATAGTTGGGTCATGAGGATTGCCCAACCAAACATGTCTACCTACTCTTAGGTTACAAGAGAACTTGGAGAGATTATGAGCCTCATAATTAAAGTTTCTACGCTCGTGAATGAAATTGCAAAACTGAAAACTAGCTTTATGTCCTACTCCTAGCGAAAGTTTCCAAGATCATCGGGTTATTAATCCCTTGAAACACCATTGCAGAAGAACACAAATATGACCCATTGTGGTTGTGACACACTGCTACAACTGCGCCCCATGTCTCTTTCGTGCAACCGTTCCATCGACATTGATTTTCATGAAGTTTTGTGGTGGAGGCAGTCACCGTTCTGAAGCATCAACGTTAACCGGAGTGGCAACCTGTTGCACATTGATCTTTGGTGCTTGCTCAAGCTCGCTGAGATAGGAATTCACAAAAGCAATTGTGTGAAACGATCTCTGAATGATGGCCTCATGGATAGCTTTCCATCGAGCATACCAAATTGACCAAAGTGTCACCGCCATCCATGTCATGATTTTCTCATGCATAAGTGGTATTGATCTTTTGATCTTCAACAGTTCGGGCCAAATATGCCCCTTATGTACTTGAGTTGGACCGGGCCATGATCCAGTTCCCCTCCTGCTTAGGTTGAAATAAGTCCAAACAGGACGGGAGTATGAATGCATGATCCCCGGTAGCTGCAATTTTCTTTTTGACATGAATGCCACGAGTTGTCCATCACAGATCCATCTGCACACCTGCCTGAATTCCACTTGAGTCTCAGACCACATATTTGAAAACCGGCTGAAAGTAATGATGGTCTCAGACAACTACACAATGGCAAAACCATTTTTCCATTAAAGAAACCGCCACACAGTTATTACATGAACTAAAAACAAAAAGGAACATAAAAGTAAAAGCAAGCCTATAACATTAGGCAAAACATGAACTAAACGCAGGCAACACACAGTAGAACAAAGCAAGCCAAAAAAGGCAACATCTATAGTAATTCTCTTGACTCAAATGGACTTGGTTATATGCTAAGGAAGTCTGGTACTCATGCTTCACCGCCATCGGCTCCGCTATATCGCTACCGGATACGAGTGATACCTTCAAGGCATGGTGGCTTAGGGCCAGGCGTGCAAGCTTGACTAGGGACAGAAGAGGTTTTGACACTTTAGTCATCTTCATTGCATGGTCTCTATGGAAGCAAAGGAATGCTAGAGTCTTTGGTAGGCTAGAACAACAAAGGAGGCCACAACAATTGGTGTAACAAATATTTGACAAGCTTAAGGAGTGGAAGGAGGCCGGAGTTGGTAGATTACACCAGTTTGTGAGAGAGTAGGCTAGCATAGTTTGGGTAGGTGTGGTGTGTCTAGCTCGGTGTTCGCACTGTTGTCTAGCGCCTTGTAATTTTTTATTCCCTTTTATAAAAAATATGGTACGTCATTGATGTACTCTCAAAAAATAGACTTGATTAAATTAGTTGATACACAGCAACTTTGTATACAAAACACGCACCAAAATTACAAATTAAAAAAAAAGCAAAATACACACGGATCCCTATGTTCCTCACAACTCTTATTCTGCAACTGTGCAGTGCAGATACTAAACCGGGGCAGTGAATGGCAGAACACCAAACAATATACACCCACGCATGCAAACGGATCATAAATAGCAACGTCCATCACTCACTGATCACCAATCCGTTGATGAGATCTCATCGCTGGGCAGGACGGTGGGACCGGACTCAGTGGTGTCCGTGGTATCTGCCGCCGTCCCCACCGCCGTAGGTGGGCGTTGGAGGGACGGGGTGGTAGTCGGGGTGGGGCTGCGGCTGCGGCTCGGGCTTGGGCACGGGGCCATAATCTGGGTGGGGCTGGGGCTTGGGCTCCGGCTTGGGCGGCACGGGCTTCTTATGATGGAAGTGCTTCATGATGTGCTTCTTGATCGGCCCGCACAGGGTCACCGACGCACACTCTCGATGCCACCGCGTTCGTCTTGGCGCCCGCGACGACGCCGAAGGTGGTGCCCTCGGACACCGGCACGATCCTGGATGGCTCTTGCCCAGGGCACGGTGCGTTGGAGGCTGCGTTGTGGAGCTGCGTGACGCACTCACACTAGTAGAAAAAGGGCCTATTGTCCCGGTTCGTAAGGGCCTTTTGTCTCGGTTCCTGAACCGGGACTAAAGGGTCGGTACTAATGCCCTGTCCCTTTAGTCCCGGTTCAATCCAGAACCGGGACAGATGGGCCTCCACGTGGCCTGTGCGTGGAGCCCAGGCAGGAGGGCCTTTGGTCCCGGTTGGTGGCACCAACTGGGACCAATAGGCATCCACGCGTCAGCATTTCTGTGGCTGGGGTTTTTATTTTTTTTGAAAGGGGGGGGGGTTGGGGGTTTTGGGGGGTCAATTTAGGTGTTTCATATATTGTGTTAGCTAGCTATAATTAATAGAGAGAAGTGTCCTCTCTTATGTCCGTGCTTGGTCGACGCTACGTACTATACATACGTATAGAGAGGACTAGACACGCTAGCTAGCTAGTAAGCAAACGAAGGAAATAAAAGATCGTTATGAACATATATGCATACAGAGAGAAGTGATATCGACCACCTCTCCTTCTCCGAGAGATTGGTCGAACAACAAGTTCTCGTATATCTATCCGACACTACCGGCTATATATATATAATAATTATCTCTTACAAATATAATCTCCTAACATACGGACTCATGTTCCACATAGTATTCTCCGTCTTCAGCGATCACGTGGTCAAGAAAGAATGCCGTCAATTCCTCTTGAATTGCTCGCACGCGAGCTGGTGCTAGGAGTTCATCCCGCTTCCGAAACATCTAATTTGAAGAAGGGGGTCAATACATATATATATGAATGAATGAAACTCAACACAAATGATGGTAATAAAATAAAATTGTGAATGTTGTTATTTACGTACTTCATATTGTTCGTCAGAGTAGCCCCGCTCACAGGTTGTGTGGCGGATGGACTCGCAAACATAGTATCCACAGAAATCATTCCCTTGTTCCTGCCACAAACACTTTACAAGAAATAGAGGTCAATCAAACTGATAAGCAAGAATGCCAAATGGTATTGATGAAACTA